TGTGAGTCCCAAAGCTATATCTCTTCTACTCCCCCTCCCCCCCCCCCACTTCCTCAATCCATCACTGGAAATAAGACATAAGTATAAAATAAAATTTATATATAAAATTTATATATAAAATAAAAATTATATATACTCTTTGATAAATCGAAGAACATTTGTTTCCTTATTAAACAATTATTAATAGTAAGTTGTTACTTTATATAAAAAATGTCACTTAACTTTATAAAAAAACTTATAAAAGAGTGACGTTTCAAAAATATTTGCTCTAATCGTAGTTATTTTGCTAACTTTTTTTTCGCGTTAAAAGCTATTTTTTTTTTTTAACTGTCTCTCATTGGTCCAGTTAATCTTAATGCGCTCTTTTGTTTGTTTTTAAAGTGTTCTCAAAACGTCTAAAAAAATCTGGGTGGCTTTTCACAACTAAATATTATTTCTGTGGTCAGTTATTGAATGTGATTGCACCCGCTTCCCGACCAAGCCTGATGTATATTTTAAAGATTTATTCTTGGAAATATCTACAGAATATTTTATCATTGCTCTTCATTTTGAGTTTAGCTAAGAAATAACTGGATTATTCAAACATTTCTTTCCACACAATCATTTGTGACACTCAAGTTTACGATGAAAAAAAAACAAAAAACAAAGCTATTGTAAGGTTCAAGAACTTTTAAGTTGGCTTTAGTATAAATTGTATATAACCGAACCATAATACCATTAATATAATCCAGCTTGATAAAAATGACCAAATTTTCCTTTGTAGTCAAATCTTTAAAATGAGTGTAATTATTAAGAACAGCACCTATTGGCTTTCTAAAATTGCTGATTCAGTTTGAAAATCAAGATGTGAATCAACTAAAACTATTATAACTGTTTTAGGAAACAAGTACCACAAATGAGCTTCAACAATGCATTAACTGCCTTTAAATTCCTTTCTTTTTGTATAGTTTATGCATTATTAAATACTCTAAATTTACATAAAACAGACTGCTTAGCAAGACTAGACTTTAAAAGCTTAGGTGCATTGAAAATTTTAATAACCAATGTTTTTGAAGTCTAACTTCTTAGAAGTCTATCTTCCAAGATAAACATCTTATGTCTAAATTCTTGGCTTGTAACAGAAATAAAAACTCAGTCATGGATAAATTTCTGCCTCAATTATTTTTTATTATGACTATTTACTTTCCCATCAAGAGGTTTTTTACCTTTTATTTCATTTCTATAGTTTTCTCATATTTCAATACTTTTGAGTGATAAAGTTTTGTAGCGTTTCTGTCTAACAGTCTCTCTATTTAATTTTATTTCTTCTCCTAAGTAGTTCATTACAAAAGCAATAAACACCATTTAATCAAAATAGCTGATCCTTTTTCTTAAACTTAAAGGTGTTGTAGCTGCTTCAAGGTAATCTTTGGTAGTAACGTTATTATCAATAATGGCAGTTAAATGAATTTTTTTTTTCATTATTCACTTTAGGTATTTGGACTTCAATAATACTGTCTTTGCTCTGCTTCAAACTCTTTTGGAGTCTAAAAAAAATAAATAAAACTATAAAAAATTTTTTATGAAAGCATGATAATGATATAAACAATTTAATTTAAAAAAAAATTACTTTCTAAGCATAAACTTGATTGTTTGCATCTGAGTTTTACTTCCGAACAAGAATCAGCTAAAAGACACTTATCAACTTTAAGGAATATAGCAATATCTTTTCTTTTCTGCCGTCTTTTTTACAAAATAGTTTTTGTTGTTTTAGCATAAGCTGCCATTTTTTGCTGAGTTTTTGTTAAAAAAATTACAAACTTTTCAAAAATTTTTGATTCGGAAAATAAATAGTTGCTGAATCCACAGAGTTTCCAAAGGTTTACTATTTTTTTGAGGAGACAAAGGTTTTTACTTTCTCACTGACATGAAAGGTTTTCATTGCATAGCATACCTAAATTTTTGCCAGTTGCACATGCAAAGTTTGTATTTAAGCTTTAAATTAATTTATTCTAGAACTGATAAGACATTGGTAATATCTTAAAACTGTTCCATTGGAGGGAGGTATTAAGGTGGTATTTCAGATTTAAGTAGATTTAGGTCTCATGGTGCATAGGAAGATGCTCTGAGACCTTGCAACACATCCCCAGATATTTTTTGTTTGTTATCTTCCTTGTTATCTTCCTTATTTCAAAAATGTAAAAAACAACTTTTTTCACCGGGGGCCTAGGGAGAAATTATGCTGTTTAGGAGAGTGTCTTGTAATTTTGTTGTTCACGATAGCTAACTAAGAGCTATGCAACATACTCAAATTTTCAGTATGTTAATATTGGTATCAAATGAGGATGAATTGCAAAAAGTTTAGGTAATTGGAGCTAACCCAACCTCGTCCCAACCCCAAATTGCCCCCTTCCTAGATTTACATCTCATAAGATAATAAATTTTTTTAAATCATAAATTAGACCAAAATTTATTAACAGATTTTAAGTTTCATCAAAAAATATCTTTTTTTTAAGATTTATGACCATAAGTAGTTTAAAATTCCTCAAATTTACCCCCTGAAATAACTTTGGATGGTAGTAACTTTTAAACTAAAATTTTTTTTTTATTATGAAATTTAAAACCTGTTGATGAATTTGGATCTAGTTTGTTACAACAAAAAAAAAATTGAAAAATTTCTTTAAAGAACCATACACTAGGGGTGGGGTATTAGGGGTCAAATAGGGTTAACTACAACTACTTTATTGCCATAAAAAAAAAAAAAAATCTGGTCTATGTGGTTGAATTATCATTTATATTTGGCATGTCATATATCATAATATCATATATTAGGAAATTATGTCAAACAATTGTTCAAAGTGTATTATACTTTTTACAAGCTACTTGCAAACTAAAAGCTACTTTAAAAGTGTCTGTAGTTGTAAGCAACAACTGCGTTTTTTAGCACTTCAATAAAGTTTAGGCTGTGCTCTCTAGCTCTTCTCATTTGCTTAAACTGATTGAAATCCTGGTGAATGAATTCAAGAGTTTGTTCTTATTGCAAGCATTACCTTCTAAATGATGCTGCCTTTGGTAGGATACTTTTCAGATGTTTATCGTAGACAAATATTAGTTGAAAAACTATAACCCACACTCCTTGTTTTCAAACAAATTTTTTTCAATCTCTTTGTCTATAACACCTAAAAGTATATGTTGACTGGGAATATTTACAAGCTCTAATATTTTTTTATTTTTATCCTCTGTTAATAAAGGGTGTTAAACAACATTTGTGAACATTTTTGCATTTTTTAATTTTGCTATCAGATATCGATTGGTCATACAATCTGTACAACAATTTTAAATAAGTTTTTGAAAGTTAGGCAATGAGGTCATGCAAAAATAACAAAGGTGCTTTGATGTTGCAGTTTGTTTTCCAACCATTTGAAGCAAAACCTTTTTACCTTTATACTGTGTAATCTAATAATCGAATGTTCAATTTATCCAAAATTATCTGCATATAATGGTTATTTTTGTTCAATAAAAGCAAAATGGCAAGTATAATATATTATGTTATACTGGCCATTTTGACCAATCGATCTGTAAATGCAATATTTAATTAGTTTTCTAATATTATAAATGTGCTCTTAATATTAACAAATAGTAAAAACATATAGAAAAAATGAAAAATAATTTAAAAATCAATTTTTACATAGAGCACTTGAAATGGTCAAAAACAGTTTTCTCGGATCTTTTTGACACAAAGAACAGCTTTAACTGTAGTGGTAACTTTATAAAAAAAAAATCATTGTCACTTTAATATGTATATATATCTGTATGTATGCACGAATGAGCAGTGATATTTGCAACCAAATTTTTGATATTATAGAGCTTGACATTAAATATTATTATTTACATATTATATTAAAAATTAGATATGTTTTTTAAAATAAAGTTTAAATATTATAAAAGGTAAAAAAATTTTATCCTCCTTTTATAATAACCTGATTGATATATTTACTTTGATTTGTTTGATTGTTGTGATAAACATTAACTCGTTTTGGCACAAAATGTTTTTTTATTTTTGAACAAAAAATAAGAAAAATAGTTACTTAAAAGGCTTATCAATCTTCATCTTCACTTGCAATTTGTACCATTTGAAGACATCTCAACTATTTAAAAACTGAATGCTTCAAGATTCTTATTGATATCCATGTTTGATATCACACAGTTTGACAATTTTTACATTACTTTTACAATAGAGTTATATGATTAACAAACACGAAGTTAAATTAAAAAGTGTTTAAAAATAAATTGACGATAAATTTTTTAAAATATAATGCTTATTTAATGTTTATTTAATGTTTTAGGGTAAAAAAATTTGATTACATTTAAGGATACTGTGATTAGCATATGAACCAGAATATGTATTCATCAACACTTTGATTTGTTTGTTTGATTTGTTTGTTTGTTTTAATATTACCATTGGTGTAATTAAGATTCACTTAAGTTCAGAAACTTTAAATGTTTGTTTTGCTTTCAAATTTTTTTAATGCTAAACCTTTCCAATTTATCTCTATTTATAATCTATACACTTTTCTATTTATCTCTATTACACATAATAAAATAAATGATATGAAATCATTTAAGTCTCCATAGTTTGAATTAATAAATTTTTTCAATCTAATCTATTAATTCAAAGCCTCAATCAAGAGGCATACAAATATAAATTAATTACTATAAATAATTATACAAATCACTAAAACTTTAGCTTTAAATGAGAAAAAATTTAAAGCTAAAGTTTTCGTAATACAAATTTATATGAGCAGGGTGCCAAGTGAAATTATAAAACAAATAAATAAATGAAAAAACCTATATAAATATAAATTGGGAGGATCTAAACTTTAAAATTTACAGTTTGATGAAAATTTAGGAAAGTTTTTTATTTTGAAAATAAATTAAAAATTTTTAAAAACTAAAATTAAAAACAATATACTACTAAAAACCAATGTTGCATAAAAATCATAAACAAGAATACAACATACAAAATCAATAGTGATGCATGCTAACCAATTTAATGATTTTTTATTTCCAAATTCAATTCCATACATTAAAATAATAAAGCTACAAGCAAGAATATTTCCAGCACATATAAACCATGCAATGTACAATTTGTATCTTTCAATCAAAATGCTCAATTTAATTTTGTTTGGTTGTGAATCTGCACACAAATAATTAATTACCTAAACTGGAAACTCATTACGAAGCAATTAATAATAATAATAAAGTTCTTACTGTTGTTTTCAAGAAGATGTTTACAAGAGTGTGACTCTTTTTGAGTAATATTGTTTTTATTACAAGATAAGCAATTGTGCAAAGCATTTTCTGGAAACTGTCTTATTGAGCGAAATAACTTCACTAGTAAAAAATTTACTGGAAACTTGATGCAAGTAGAAATTAATACCACATAAATCTAAATTGTTTTCAAAAATATTGTAATGCCTAATTGAAATAAATAAAAAGAAACTAAAAAACTAATTAAAAAAAAAAAGATAAAAAGTCAAACTTGTTTAATCCTCAGAAAAAAAACAACATAAAAAATAAAAACTAAATAAAACATTTATTCAATTCTTTTTATAAAACTTAAACGGTTTTTTTTAACAACCTTTTTTTTACTTTTTTAAGATATAGTTACATACATAAAAGTTGTAGTTTCATAGTTTAGAAATTGTCATTTATAATTGAGAACATGAGTTGTCATTAAAAATGTACAATTTAGCTTTGTAGCTTTTTTAAAATGTTGTTGTATTAATCTACAAAAATCACACAGTCATACAAATGGTTGCAAAGGAGCTGTGAATGCCTCATGGTTGAATGAATTATATAATGATGAACTTTTTAATAAACAAAGCAAGTTTAGACAGTTTTTTAAACAAAATTAAAGCTTATTAGAAAAAAAAAAATAAGCAAAACACATAAAAATAAACTAATTATTCATAGACAGAAATAAAATTCATTCATAAACAGAAATGTTAATACACAGAAATAAAAAAAACCGATAAACAAAAATAAAAACCATGAACAAATTACCTAATTAACATATATATATTATAATCAACATATATGTAATATAATCAACATATATGTAATATAATCAACATATTTATAATAAAAAAATCAACCACAAAACAAAACAAACTTAAATAGATAGTCTATAAAATAAGAAAAAATAATAATGCTTCTAAATTGTTTAGTGACTATAGTTAATGCAATTTTTAGAATTTATAACCATTTATTATTTTTATATACAATTATGTGAATTTATAACCATTTATTATTTTTATATACAATATATATATATATATATATATATATATATATATATATATATATATATATATATATATATATATATATATATATATATATATATATATATATATATAAAATGTTCTAGATAAGTAAAATACAATTAGAAATAACACTCTTAATTAAAAAAGACATAAAATTTTCAAACACTATGTTTAAGATATAAACACTTTCATTCATGCATAAATACATACATATATTCATATTCTGACATATATTTATACATTTATTCTATATATAATATAACATCAGATCAAAGAAAATGAGTAAAAAAAATCTTTGATTGTTGAATGATAAAGTTGATGATAACCACTAAAGTTCTACTCTTTTTTCCAAAACTACAGTGGTTTGCTGTAAGAGCAATTTTTTTACCATATTTGTCCACAAGTTTGTATTTATACATGTGTATTTATTATATAAATCCACAATATATTGAAGTATAATAGTTGTCACCAGGAAATTGACCGGAATCACACTTTAAGTATTTCTGTCTATTAAACTACAGTAATTTTATTTCTGTAAAATAAGTAAAATAAACAGTAAAATACGTATTTCTGTCGATTAAAATACAGCCATTTAATTTTGTCAAAACTTGAATATCAAGTTTTCAAGTTCGTGTTTTGACAGTGGAATGTAGCTTTTGAGACTCGTTAGTAGTTCCATGATCTATTTTATTTATGAATGTGCAAAACTTTTTTCAAATTTTAATTTAATTTGATGACATTTTAATAAATTATTATTTAAGATTATTTTTTTATGTATTATAACTACTACTACTATTACATAAATAAAATAATGATAAATACTTTTTAAAATATGTTTGTTATTTATACTGAAAGTGGTTTCAATATCTCATTTTCTTCAATTTCATGTTTTATTTATAAACATAAAATGTTTTGAAACAAAAATAAGTAAAAGCACAGACAATATATCAATTAAATAAAAAAACATGTAAAACTATCTGAAGACTGTGTGTGCATATTGATGTAATGTTAAAGCAAATTATCAAGAAAAAAATGTTGGCTAAGTGATATTAGAGAGTAGTAATGTTTACAGGTGTGATGTTTACAGGTAGGTTTGTTACATCTAGTAATTTAGTCTTGTTTATTTTTTGTCTTTTAATACTGGGTGAAAAGAAGGTTTAACACACTCACTTCATTTACTTATAGGCTACAG